GAGAGAGAGGTTAAACAAATAGACCAAATGTGAGGAAATGGCGCCCCCTAATGGAGAAGCAAGGTGAAACTTTATAACATTTTCATATTAGCTTCCAAAAGACTTTCCTAAGTCCTCTTGTCCTGGCTCCCACCAGAAGGAACAGGGGCTGATGCCGGAACTGTCTTTGTAAAATGCTGCCAGCCACCTCAACCGGTCTGGCAAGAAAAACAGGTCACGAGTGTTGAGATGTCATAGCCTACACCCTTCAAATCTGTTCTGCCATGCCAATGTCACTCAGAGATCTAAGAACAGACTTAAAAGAGAACTCTCAGAAGAGAGAATCTACTGTTTTCACCTCATAACTAGCCTGGATCTAACCCCCACCACGTGCGCAACTGCCAAGTGGGTGCAGGCCTGGCTTTAGCCCACTGCTGCCATGACCATCTGTACAGAGAGCAAGTGGCTTGCCCGCAGTCTCTATTTCTCGTCAGCAAAATGGGCATGATAGCTCCCACCTGGCCTATTTCCACTGCAACGTGTATTTTTCCCCCTTCCATTTTTTCAGTGTCTTTTTTAAATCGATTAAAACCGTTAACACTTGGAGAATCCAGGTAACGAGTTACCCGTGAATTCTGTTATTATGCTTATACCTCTTCTGAAAATGAAGAACTCGATGAAATGACGTAATATACTTAAATGTATTTAAAATTCATAGAACATGTACACGATGAAATTTTCGAACTGTTAAGAAGGGATACAGTGAAATCTAAGGCTTCTTCTTATCAATCTACCCTGCCTGTCTCCTCTTCGGAAGGAATGGTGCTAAGTCAGTGTCTCTGGTGCTTCCCAGGGATAGTCGCTGTATTAAAGCACATCTACACACTTACACAGAGGAGAAAGACAGAAGCCCACAGGGATAGATACCTTGTCCCATTGGGTCACCATGAGCCGGCATTGACTCGATGGCAGTGAGTCTGGTTTGGAGTCTATACTGGACTTATACTGGCTATTAACCTCAAGGGGTTGGTTTGAAGCCACCCAGTGGGATTACGGAAGAAAGCCCTAGCAATGTGCCTCTATAAAGATTTGTTGTCGTTGTCATTGTTGGGTGTTGTTGATCGCAACTCATAGCGAGCCCAGGTGAAAGCGTAGAACTGCCCCATCAGGTTTGCTTGGCTGTGATCTCTATTCAATGGCAGCAGACTGGCAGGTCTTTCTGCTACAGTCACTGTAGGACTGCCAACCTTGTAGCTAGCCACCAAATGCTTCACCACTGTGCCACCAGGGTTCCTTCCCACAAAGACGACAGCCAAGAGACGCCTATGGAGCTCAGTTCTGCACAAGGGCTCACCCGGAGTTGGCATCAACTTGACAGAAAGAGGTGTCAGGTCCCAGAGAAAACATGCTGCACAACTGGAATCTGACTCCAGAGTTTGCCCAGTCTTCTCTGCCATACTCCATCTAACTACAGGGTCCTCAGCCGACTTCTCCTTCATCCCAACACTCCTTCCTATCCATTCGGCACCTCACTTCCACAGTTCATTCCCACTGGAGCTGAGGATCTCTCGTGGAGATTAGGGGGGAAAAATCCAGATTGGCTAGGCTAGGATGGCTGATGCTCTCTTTGAATATCAGTCATCTAATCTGGCTGTAATGTGGTTGCACGGTTTTAATCTTATCCATTTAAGGTGTTTGATTATTGGAAAGTATTCCTGATCCTAATTGTAATCCTTGTCAATTACGAACTGAGTCGAATCACCCCAAGCTCCCAGCAGAGCATCGCTATTAGTATTTTGAGTCTTTGGGGTGAGAAGTAGACCCAAATCAGGGCAGCAGAATTGGAGAAGGTCACTAGAATTCAGCTCGGTCTTCTGTGTATTCATTATGTATTCATCCGGCACACATCCACTCGCGTGTGCTGTCAGTCCCTGGGTCCCCCAGATGAATACAAAGATGTGAACATGACCGACCGCGTTGGGAACACTGCTGAAGGCCCTGAGAGAGTCCTGGAACAGCACAGTGGAGAACAAAAGGACACATCTTCAGAGGAAAAGCAAGGTCTCAGGGCGCAGGGAGCACTTCTGCCAAGTCTGGAAGGATCCATACATTTAGTCACTGCTCAGCCCTCCTTGGCTGCATGTCCACTCAGGCTGGGCACTGGAAGCTGGGGAGACAATGGTAACCCTGACAGCTCCTGCTCTCCAGGGAGGAGGAAGCCCAGCCCACAAAGACAGGTCTGATAGTGCTGTGACAAAGGCAGGTGCTGTTAGAGGCTGCCTGGCTGGGTGGTCAGGGACCAGCTCTCAGGGGCTGAAGCTGACCCCTACTGGATAAGAAGGAGCTGGCCTGGTGGCAAGCCAGGGGAAGACTGTCCCAGGCAGAGGGCACTGCCAGGTAGGGACGGCAAAGGAAAGCAGCAGGAGAGCTCAGAGACAGGAAGCACCCTGGAAGCACCACAGGAGGTGAAGGCTCAGGAGAGAGGCGGGCAAGGCTCTTAAAGGGACTGTGCCCTCAGGGCTGGGGGTTTCCATCTTGCTCTTAGTGGCTTGGGCCTCTCAGTGCTGTGTAGGACACATTTTTACTGGGTGACTTTTTAAGGCCCCCGTACAAAATATTATGCCTATATTTTAGTATCCTTCTTTAAAAAAAAAAACCAAAATGTAGGCTTTGGTAATAATTGCCATATAAAGGAAGACTAGAAATAGAGGTTCTTTTTTTCTGTACACTAATGGATTGTATTGCAACCCTGTGGAGGCTGTGCACACCTGCTACTGTGATCAGGGGGCTTTAATCAGTGGCAGGGCTTCGGATAGGGGAGTGGCTTGATGAGACAGACATTACAGACATTGTGAACAGGCAGCAAGTTGGAGGCTGAAGTAGGGGAGGGAAAACTGCAGACTAGAAGCCCAGGGCGGGAACGAGTGCTGGTGGAATGGCGAGAGGAATGGAGAGATGTATCGGAGAGAGATGTCGCAGTCTGGTGTCTGAAGGGATGGAGGGGAAGGACAGGAGAATCTACAAGTCAGTGTTTCATCTGTTTGTCAAAAGACACTTACTTTATGTTTGACCCGGTGAGAAATTCAGAGGATTGAGCAAAAGAGACATGGGCCTGCCTAACACAGTCCTTCCTGACTTGTTCTGACACCAGCGGTCTCTGCCCAGCATTTTCTACTTCCACGCTGGGTTCAGTAATCTGTTGCAATAGCCACACACAATCACAGAGCATGCTCATGATTGTGGAGTTTATTAGGGAAAAAACCGGTTACAATTCAGGATCAGGAACTCTCAGGATATAGTTCTGTGGTCAGGACAGCCTCCCCCATCTGTGACCGTGGCACCCCAGGCCCACAGGCTTGTGGTCTGCTTGGGCAAGTGTCCTGAAGCTCTTTTACTCGCAACCTCTCAGCTCCATGGTCCCTTAGCCCCTTGGTCTCTGGCCTACTTGAGCAAGTATCGCTCTGCCAGTTAAGTGCCTCCTCTGCCAGTAAGGCTTGACCTGAGGGCACACAACTTTGGCTCCCTTGATTAAGTGCCTGGAGGCAACCCACTTGGCAGCAAGTCTCCTGCTCAAAGGTACTTAGTTTCATGTCTCAATGGGCCAGGCTGCGCTGCCCCCAGGCTTTCTTCCGGGATGGTGAGAGTCCCCCTTTCTGCTTCTGATTGGCCTCATTTTAAACCGTGTGATGGCAAAACTGGCTAGTTCCCGTCAGGGTGCCATATAACTTATTTGCATGGGCCTACTCCCATGGGTGTTATGTCTCCTATTGACATTATTAGCACTGTCCAGTCCCTTTGGTAAACTACATATACCTTGAATTTGCATAGTCTTATATAGTCATTTTCAAGTTGGGCTGCTAATTACGAGGTCAGTACTTCAAAACCACCAGCTGCTCCATGGGAAAAAGACTGGGCTTTCTACTCCTTCCAAAAGCTACCGTCTCGGAAAGTCACAGGGGCCCTGTGACCCTGTCCTATAGAGTTGCTGTGAGTTGACACTGAATCGACAGCAGTGAGTTTGGTCCGGTTTTGGTATATAGCCATTTGGGAGAAATGCCAAAGATTATGGCTGCAAAAGCTGTCTCAGGTTCTTCACTGTGCCTCTGTGAAATACCGCCTGACTGGTTTTGAGATCGAAGAAATGGGTACTGCCTGGCTGGATACATTTTAATGAAAGGTTCTTTAGCAGAATCCTGATCAAAAGGGGGAGAAAATGCAGAACCGAATTCCAAATTCTCATAGACTTTTGATCTTTCTGGAGCCTGGATGGAGCCTTGAGGCAGTCATTACGCCTTAACCCAAAGATAGTCCCTGTGGCCCTTTAAGTCAAACAATATGAGGGCGCCTGGAAAAATTAGTGGGGAAAATGACTTTATTTTTTCACTTCCATTTTCTCCTGAACTCTCTAAGCGACCAAAGGGACAGCAGCAGCCTGAGAGGATCGACAGGAGCCGAGGGAGGCACAGCTCGGAGGAGGAGGGTGCGATGAGTGCGCGGCTTGAAGACTGCCATCAGATCCCATGTAGAAGGCGGTGACTTCATGTGTGTTGTGCTCTGCTTACTTTCAAGAATACCAACCAAAAACTAAGGGGCCCTGGTGGCGTAGTGGTTTCTAATTGGGCTAGGATCCACAAGATCAATAGTTCGAAACCACCAGGCACTCCAAGGAAGAAAGATGAAGCTTTCTACTCCTGAAAAGAGTCGCAGTCTCTGAAATTCACAGGGCAGTTCTGTCCTGTCCGAGAGGGTCGCCAGAAGTCAGAGTAGACTCTGTGGCATTTTACTCTGTGGCATTGAGTGTTTGGCTTGGGTTTAGGGTCAGAGGGCGCATCTTAGAGTGTTGCTTCCTCGTGCTCTTTCGCGTTGGAAACAACCAACCACAGGCTGCTCTGTGGAGAAAGACGAGGCTTTCTAGTCTCAGAAGGATTTAGTCTCGGAAACCCATGGGGGCAGTTCTGCTTTGTCCTAGAGCGGCGGTTCTCAACCTTCCTCATGCCGTGAGCCTTTCATACAGCTCACCATGCTGGGGGACCCCCCAGCCATAAAATTATTTTCGTTGCTACTTCATCACTGTCATTTTGCTACTGTTAGGAATCGGGAGACCCATGTGGAAGGGTCATTCGACCCCCAAAGGGGTCGTGACCCACAGGTTGAGAACCGCTGCCCTGGAGGGTCGCTGCGGGTCAGAATGGACTTGATGGTGGTGAGCTTGGTGTCTTGTTCTTTCTCTTTATGGCAGAGATCACTAACGCTTAATTCTGGTTTTTAAAGAAGGGTACTGAAATATAGGCATAAAATTTTGTACGGGGCCTTAAAAAGTCACCCAGTAAAAATGTGTCCTACACAGCACTGAGAGGCCCAAGCCACTAAGAGCAAGATGGAAACCCCCAGCCCTGAGGGCACAGTCCCTTTAAGAGCCTTGCCCGCCTCTCTCCTGAGCCTTCACCTCCTGTGGTGCTTCCAGGGTGCTTCCCATCTCTGAGCTCTCCTGCTGCTTTCCTTTGCCGTCCCTACCTGGCAGTGCCCTCTGCCTGGGACAGTCTTCCCCTGGCTTACTACCAGGCCAGCTCCTTCTTATCCAGCAGGGGTCAGCTTCAGCCCCCGAGAGCTGGTCCCTGACCACCCAGCCAGGGAGCCTCTAACAGCACCTGCCTTTGTCACAGCACTATCAGACCTATCTTTGTGGGCTAGTCTTCCTCCTCCCGGGAGTCTCCATGAGAGCAGGAGCTATCAGGGTTACCACTGTCTCCCCAGCTTCCAGTGCCCAGCCTGAGTGGACATGCAGCCAAGGAGGGCTGAGCAGTGACTAAATGTATGGATCCTTCCAGACTTGGCAGAAGTGCTCCCTGCGCCCTGAGACCTTGCTTTTCCTCTGAAGACGTGTCCTTTCGTTCTCCACTGTGCTGTTCCAGGACTCTCTCAGGGCCTTCAGCAGTGTCCCCAACTCGGTCGGTCATGTTCACATCTTTGTATTCATCTGGGGGACCCGGGGACCGACAACACATGTGAGTGGATATGTGCCGGATGAATACATAATGAATACACAGAAGACCGAGCTGAATTCTAGTGACCTTCTCCCAACTGTGCTGCTTCTGATTCGGGTCTACTTCTCATTCAAAACACTCAAAAATCAAAATTTTTTTAACCTGCATAAACAAATCACCTAACAAAACAAATATCTGAAAATTCGCATCCTGAGCGAGAGGTGAAAGTGACTTTATGACTCAAGACTTACCCTGCCCACCCTATTATACTTTTCCTTCTTGTGCTTTGAAAATCTTCCCAGTTCCTAATGCACCACAGAAAATGGTTGAGGGGCAGGGGGCAGGCAAAGAATCCCACACCATCCCAGTAATTTAACCCTCCAGTTTAGGTGCGTTTGATTTGTATTTAGCTCAGTTGGTTATCAACATCCCCTAGAGACGGTTGCTGGACAGGCCACTCGCAAGGCTCAGGAGGCATCAGAAGCCCCAGAAATGAGGTGGGAAAGACTCTGCTCACCTGCTCTGTCGGGAACAAGGTGTTGATGTATTCCACAGCATTGAAGTCTGCGTGATCTAGAGGGTCCTGGCTTGGAAACACCTGTGAAGAAGTAGGGGATTAAAAATAACTGTCGTTCTTCTGCCTTTGATTTTGCTTTGTCTCTTCTGCATTTGTACAGGGAAGAAGGAAAAACAAACCTCATCTTTTCCAGCTTCGAACGTGTCACGCACTACAGATGCTCATCAAAATCTCCGTGAAAGTAATCCTTAACCTTCAATAGCATTTCTACTTTTAACACCGCGGTACAACTGTGAGGCATCCCACGGGCACCACGGACATCTTCGGGACAAGGCAACATCAGCAGACTGCACTGATAGGTGGAACTGGCTGGTGACAAGGCTGCATGGAGGAGGCCTGGCTGACTGGGTCTGCACCGGTTTCTCCACAGAAGGCACTAGGCACTCAAGCCATTTTTATGCTTCAGGCAGCTGTCACAAAATGCAGAGCTGGCGTTCAGGAACTGCCCATTCCCTGAACAGAAGAAAGACGGCCGTCTTCTGAGAAACACAGCTACAGCCCCTCACCCGAGGCAACTGGAAGAGCAAGCATGATTCTTGGTGTAAAAGATTGTACAAAGCAGTCAGATGATCTCCTGGGTGCTGAGATTCAAGATCACTACATCTCTGGTAAGCAAGAGCTTCCCTTCAGACACTGTCTACAGAAGTAACCACATCAAAGAATCACAAAGGCTTCTAAGAGAGGACAAAAGCAATCTCTAAGAGCTCAGGGCTCCCGTGGTGTCTTCGAGAGCTACGGAGGGGACTAAAAAGTGAAGGCGTTCTCTGTTTTAAATGCTTAGCATTTCTGTGTCTGTAAGATGCGTCCACGCTGAAAATACATGACATGCACATGGCACTTACACAGCCTCAGATATATGCTCCACCAAAGGCAGTGCTGGTCATTTGCTGTTGAGTGTACACTCCACGGGGAGTGCCATTCAGGAGAAGTAAACTATTTCCTCAAGTTGGTCTCCATTTCAGCATGACTCTCTCGGGGGCTAACCTAGATTTCACTATGTTTCCAGATAAGGACTTAACACAAGCCAGTTACTTCATCCGTAATTGGGGAGGGGAGGGCGAGATTGATTCTAATACAAGAGAAAATGAACAGCACTACCCGGGCAATTTAAGAAATTTCAAAAGTATTCTGTTTACATTGGTTTTCATCTTATGCGATAACTGGAACCTAATCTGAGTGAAATGTGATCATAATAGAGGAAACCTTTCTTAGTACTTGTGTTGCCTACCTTTCAAAACACACTGCTCTCAAGTCAATTTTAACTCATCACGACTCTATGGGACAGAGTGGGACTACCCTTTTGTGATTCCGAGGCTTTAAGGCAGCAGAAAGCCTCATCTTTCTCCCACGAAGCGGCTGGTGGGTCTGAACTGCTGACCATGAGTTAGCAGTCCAACACGAGTCCCACTAGACCCGCCACCAGGGCTCCTTGGCTACCTTTACATGCATGCCATGACACGGTGGTTGTCTACAGAATGCCAGTCAGTCTTAGATTGCTAAAGTAAGAAAGCATTCTGAATGTTACCTTGCCAATAAGATAGCTGGGTACTCAATAAACCCACACCAGAACTCGGGCTGCTTCTTAAGATATACCACAAATGTGTTCTTTTGAGATCTTTTGCAGCCAAGCAGTAACTGAAGGCATTATTTGTCCAACAAGGTCCAAAGTGTGACTAAATCATGTCTTTTTGTAGCAGAGGAAGGTGGATGAGGGAGAGTATGGCCTGAGTCCAGAAACTGTCCAATGGGCTGGCATCCTCAGGACATACCAAATGTGCTCTGTCTGAGTAATCCAACCATCTCGAGAAGTAGCAAACCCACTCTTGTTAAGCCAACTCTGAGCCCTGATGCCCTCATGTGTTACAGAGGAGAACTTCTCCGGAGGGGGTTCCTGGCTCTAATCACAACAGAAGCAGACAGCCAGGCCTTTCTTCTGTGGTACTTACTCCCTGGCTTGGTTCAAACCATGAAGCTGTAGGTGAGCATTTGAGTGTGAATTGTTTGTGCCTCCCAGGTCCCACCGGGAAACGCACACATCTAAACATTTATAAATAAACACCCAAAATGCAAATTACAAAACAACCCAAATAAATTTATTTAGTGTCCGTGGCAGATCCATAAGTATTAATCCAAAATAAATGTTGGCTATTTCCATGGTGAAATAGTGATTATGAGTTGGGCTGTGATCCTCATGGTCAGCAGTTCAAAACTACCATCTACTCTGAGGGAGTAAGACTGGGCTTTCTACTCCCGGAAATAGTTACAGTCTCAGAAACCCACAGGGGGGTCACTCTGAGTCAGCATTGACAGTGAGTTTTTGAGTTTTATAATTAGGAAGTGACCAGAGTGGTAGGTCAGGCTGCTAACTGAGAGGTCAGGGATTCCAACCCACCAGTTGCTCCAAAGAGAAACACGGAGCCGTCTGCTTCCACAAGACTTACAGCCTTGAAAAGTCTTCCCTGCCTCCAGGTCACTAGGGGTCAGAACCAACCTGATGGCTGTGAGGGCTGAGTTTATTATTATTCGCAGTAATGTTTTCCAAAACTTCCCAGGAGTCATTCAAGAAGGCACATCCTCCCTTTTCTTAAATCATTATCTCCAAGTCAATTCCTTGGAAGCAGAGTTGCTCCCCCTTTCAGGACCAATATCCTATCATCCAAACCAAAACGCCAAACCTATGGCCCCAGTGTCAATTTCAAGACCCAACAGTCCTGCGCGGGAGAGGAGAACGGCCCCATGGGGCGTCCTAGGCTGAAATCTTTGCAGAAGCAGACAGAGCTGTACAGAGTGGCTGGCGTGGGCGAACCCAAGAGGGGTGAGTCAATCGTCTAATCCTTAGCCACCGGGTCCACAGGGCTCCTTTCTTTCGATCCCCTGTACCAAACCCACTGCCATCGCCTCAGTGCCACCTCAGAAAGATCCTATGGAGGGCAGAGTAGAATGACTCCAGAGGGGTCCCAAGGCTGGTCATCACTGATCATTATGAAAACAGAACGGCTCATCTTATGCAGAGTGGCTGGGAGTTTGAACCGCCCACCTGTCAGT